ATAATACTGTTACTACGGTTGCCGATTGTTGAATGAATTAATTACAAAATGGTTTATGACTGTGGGTAGTGTCTTGAGAAGTGCTCAGGAAAAGCTGGTTGAGTCCAAATCAGATCTATCCACCCTTCAAGGAGCAATTTAATTCTACATTTACAGTGAAGTCTGTATAAATATCCAGGGGCACAACTGACCGTTCCCTCCTCTTTCGTTTTGCAGACTTTGTTTATAGCTCAATTACAGCATTTACGAGAGCTTTCCTTACACTGGAGTGATTTATGCATGTATCTGTTTCCTCTCCCCTGGTAATAAGTCGGGGTGGGCAGAGGCCAGGTATTTTCCATCTTGCTGACTTCACCTCCCTGAATGAGGGTCTCACCCATAGGAAATGCTCAGAGACAGGTGCTGAATGTGAGAAAGATGACAGCGAAATATGTCGTGTGCTATGGTTTACCTTCTCTGATTTCATCGACTTTAAATTCTGCAAAATATTCTTCACGATTAATTAATTAAGACAGAATTTACTTACAACACTATGTTAGGTTCACACAGGTATACAACATAATGATTCCATGTATGTAGATATGAAATCAGCAAACCAATTGCCACGGCAAGTCTATTTAACATCCATCACCACACATAGATAGTTACTATTTTTTTTCTCTTGTGATGCAAACTTTCACGACCTACTCTCAGTAATTTTCAATCACAATTTATTTATTTACTTATTTTTAATGTATATATATTTTTATTGAAGTATAATCAGTTTACAATGTTGTGTCAGTTTCTGGTGTATACAATTTATTTTTAAAATGTCAACTTGAGCTGATGAATCTGCTCCCTGTCTTCCTGTTTCTAACTTATTTATTGATTAGAATTGACCTATCAGCTGGGATTCCTTGATAAGGGTTTGCTTTTGAATTTAAATGGGATTTGAACTCAAACAGGTGATTGAATTAGTCAATCCAGCCTACAAGCAAATAAGAAAAAGCACTTCCTTGTCCCTTTTCCAAGCTTCCAGTCTTCCTCTAGGAGGAAGAATCCTACAGGGAAACAGCTGGTGGTGCTGGGTGGAGTCCCAACCACAGCTTTAGAAGGCAGAATGTAGAAGAGAGTTCTTAGCTGAGACAGGATTGCCTGTTAACTGGCACATGGATGGTTAATGAAAGTGAATGAACCTTTTATATTATATAGCTCTTAAACTGGTTCAGTTTCAAGCCAATGCTTCCATCCATGAAAAAGTAAAGCTTTCCTTCACGGTGTGCAGGGGTGAGGGAATGTTCAACAATTTTCAGTTTTTGTCCTCAAGCAGGTAAGTGCTTTGTTTTTAAAGAATAGCGCATCATCTCCAAAATGGGACTGAGAGTTTGCCTTTAAAGAAACTATTTCAAAATAAAAGAGGACTCCAGGAACCAGAAAAGGATTCTGGACAGCAAACATAAATGCTGGGGAGATCGGATTTCTACTGTTTGATGGCAGAAGTGGTGTGAATTCCAGCATAAGTGCCACTGCAGAAGGAAAAGGGCTCGGATTGCAGAAAAGTGACTGGTGCTAAGTTTCGTTAATTAGAACAGCATGGAGCACTGGGGCACAGTCCTGACAGTGAAGCCTGTTAGTTTGATAAATGAATTACTAGAGCTATTCTGCTGACTCCCAGACACAACGTTCAAGGTGGCCGCGGCTGGTAAACAGGGGTGGAAAACATATCCTCACACATTTGCTTCATGCCTGAAAAACAAGCAGTTTAGGAGAAGACATCTGGACATAGAATTTGAACAGTGCTAGGAGCCCATCAAAACATGGATTTGATGGCTTGGCGTCTGGCTGCTAGGCAACGTACCTCTTACATTCAAAACAGAGTTGTAAAAGTAGCATCCTGGTGCCAACTCTGGGTATTTCTCATTGAAAAAAAATATAGCCATGAAAGTTTCTTTTCAGGGCTTAGATATCTGACTTCCATGAGACTGAAGCCCCCAGATCATTCCTCCTCTAGTCCTTTTGGTTTCCACATTCTAAAGTATTAGGTGGAGTTTAATATTGCATTTTAAAGTACTCCTGAATATTGCATGAGAGTCTCGTAGTGTTTTTCTCAGCCCCCTAATTAATTGCACTCCTTTAAATTAGGTGCATATATTCATAATAACGTGCTTTTCAGATACTTGGTTCTCATCAAGTTAGATGTAGATAACAAAGGGTCAATGACAAACTAAGTGAGATTTACTTTACTGAAAGTATGCTTCTGCTTGGCAAGAAGGCCAGGGAGGGCCCATGTCAAATATTTTCCATGGGTGGACTAGTTTGAAAAATGAATGTTCTTATAATACTTATTAAAATTAAGACAGCTGGTAATTTATTTCCTCCTTGCTTTATCTGTTTAAAAGTTACTGATACATCTCAGAGCTTGGAAAACAGGAATTGTTAACTACCTAAACAAACAAACAAACAAACAAAAAAACAAATCCAGAAAAAGCAACAGACAAATCATTTAGAATCAATGACTAGTTTCCCTTTTTTCTAAGGAGCAGTTGGGAAAATTATGGGGCAGGAAGTAGGGAGTAATTGGGTCTCCTATTAATGTTTATTTATTTAAAAATTATGGAATGTGCATTTGTATTAAAAAATGAAAGTGAACCATTAAAATGTTCAAAGTGTTCTAGTGAACACTTTGAGTAGTATGCCTACAAAAGTATTTTTTCCTCTGTCTTTAGAGAACTTCCTTCCATAAACTCTCTGAAGCCTCCTTCTTGGCAGCCTCTTGTGATGTAGCAAAACAAAAAATCCAGACATGGAAAGTTGCTTACCAAAAAAAAGAAACAAAAAAAAAAAGAAGAAGAAGAAGAAGAAAATCACCCCCCACCCAAAAAAAGCCACTTGGAAACCAGATAAGAAAGGGATAGTTTTACAGGAGAACTTCACTTCATATGGAAGGCTACAAAAATGAATGTCCTTCCGTTTTAAAGATTAATGCTGTGCAGAAAAATTAAAGGATGGTTTCCAGGAGATCACTTAATGAGGAGAAAGATTTTCCATCTTGCGAAGTGTGCTGCCCAGTTCTCCCTAAACTACTGCCCTCCAGCGTCTTTATTTACATGTGGTTTACATTTATGTCCACCCCATGAACCACAAGGGTTGCTCCGCTCCAAATTCATCAACACTTTTCCTTCATACCAGGGGTGCCTTAGTAAAAATAGGAGAATTAGGTGGTGGAGCTGTGTGATTCTGAAACCTCCTGTAAGCTGTCACTGAATTTCCCGTCCTGGTTCTGGTTATTCCCTTGTGTACCATAATTTTGCATAATATTTCAAAGTTTCTGATCCTTCATCTATCCTGGATGGATCTCAAACACTTAAAGAATGAGCTTCAAAAGCCCATTTTTACCAGGCATCTGAGAGCATGACTTAAGACTGCCAATCAGAAGTAGAGCTGTGAAAAGTGAGGCTCAGAGCTCTGAGCAAGATGAGCTCACAACCAACTCAGACTTTGTGTTTGGATGTCACACTTCTGTGGTGGTCTTGATGGATATTGTGTTCCTCCCAGAGCCTTTGGGCCTATAAATATCAGTTTCTTTCCCTTCCTGTAACCCTCTTTCTTAAAAGAGGGAAACCCTGGGAAAACATTCCTTCATGTCTTGACTCTTTGCCCAGATCTTTCCACACTGGGGCTTCAGAAACATATTTGTCCAAAACCCAAACGTGCAAGCTGGATGTGACCCTTCACTGGCAGCTGTGGAGGGCGGAGCAGTGCTTACTGTGCACTGGAGGACCAGGCAAAGCAGTTGCTAAGGAACTTCACAAGATTGGGTTTCTCTATCCTCCTGGCCCTCCCAAAACCCTTCCATCCAAAGAACCCAGATTCCACCCACTTGGACATGTAAGAGGTCCGTTAGGAAGTCAGACCGAAAAAAAAAAAGTCATTTCTTTACAACTTCTTCCTTTGACTTTAGTCACACAAGGGGATTCAAGTAAGAAGGTATGGACATTTACCAAGGAAGGTCGTAGATAAAAGTGACCATTAGGTTGGACAAAGTTCTATCTTTATGTTCACTGGCAAGTAGAAAATCTCTGATTCCAAAGACAAACTGGCTTTCCCCCTTTTCCCATTTAACGATGCATATTTTCCCAAGCATTCTAGCCGCATTTTATCATATTCATGCATCTATGACACCGTATCTCAGACTGGAGGTGTCCGCCCTGATTGATGGATTGATCGTCTAAGCAGGTGCTTGGTCATTCAGGGCATTGTTGCTGGCTCTACTCCAAATACAGGAGCAAAGTTGGAGGCTGGCTGGGTTTCCTGCAAGAGGCAGGTAAGGAGATCCGTGGGAGAAACCAGACTGTCAACAAGACTGCCCCTTTGACCTACGCCTCCTTACACCAGTGCTCCATGGACCCACCCAGGCCGGACCTACCTCTCGCGTAAACAGGATGGCTGCGTCGTAGTGCTCCTCATGGTCATCTCCCAGCTGGTTGTGCTGGTGCTGCCACTTACAGAAGTTCTTGAGCGTGGTGGCCGCGTTCTTGCTCACCTCCAGGCTCTTGTCCTTGTCGCCCAGCACCACCACCTTCACCACGGCCAGGCGGATGTGGTTCTCGATGCTGGCGTGGCTGTACAGCCGGTTGGCGATGGAGGCCAGGGTCAGCAGGTAATGCTGCAGGCCCCGGCCATACAACCGCGCCATGGACGCGTCAGCCACCAGGAGCAGCTCCACCTGGCGGGCCCGGGAGATGGAGCGCCGCCGCCGCCGCCACCACGTCTGTGGTCCCGGACTCCCATCCGACGAGGGAGCTGACTGGTCCGGGAGCTGCGGGGCCAGCGCCCTGCCTCGATCGGGGCTGCTGTGCGCTGAGGGGCGCTCCCGCGGCCCTGGAGGGGACGCAGGGGTCTCGCAGCTGGTGCGCGGCGGCAGGGCCTCAAAGCTGAAGCCCTCGCGGGTGTAGACGTGTAGTATCCGCGCAGACTCATCCCCGTACACGCGCCCGTCCTCGGCCTGCGCCCAGGGCCCACGCAGCAGCGGCTTCAGAGTGTAGCGCGCGTGCTTGACCGCGAAGAAGCCGTCGAGACCACCGCAGAGGTCAAAGACAGCCAGGGAGCGGGGGCTGCCGTCCACGGTGCCCCGGTAGAAGCAGTGGCCCGGGTGGCGCCGGGTGGCGCTCGGCCCGCCTCCTGCGGGCATAAAGCCAGCGGCGCCCACCGAACCATCCCGCTCCAGGTCCAGGAGGAACCTCCGGCCGCCCGCGTAGACGAGGTAGCCCACCTTGCCGCCTCCCGAGTAGAGCTGGTCGATGTTCTGCACAAGCCCGCTGCTCCTGCGCTGCGGCGCCAGGGGGTGCGGGTGGCCCGGAGGCTCGGTCCGCTCCTGCACCTCCTCCCCCTGCTGCCGGCGGGGCTGGGCGGCCGCTGCTGCAGCCCGAGGCTGCCCGGCTTTATCCTGGGCAGGTGCCGCGGCGGGGCCGGCCGCGACCAGGGGCAGGCGGAGCGCGCACAGCAGCAGGGACGCCCACCCGAGCAGCATAGTGCGCTGCCCGCGGGGAGGGGCTGCGCGACGGGGACTTTATGGGAATTTGTTATTCGCTCTGGAAGTTACCGGGGCGGGAAATGGGAACACACATACACTTGCTTGCTTGCAAGGTTGAGTCAAGTGTCGGAGGGAGGGGGACCCGGCAGCAGCGCCAGCCTGTCCCGGCCGCGGTGCCAGCGTGCGAACTTTTCTTTGTTGGTTTGGAAAATGTTTGGATTCGTGCTCCGGAAAGAGGGGGGAAAAGAAAAAGAAAAAAGCCGGGTTTTGGAGATTCAGCAAGTACGAGAAAATGGGAAAAACCCAAATTAACCCCAAATGCGGCCAAGATCGGTGCACCAAGAAAAGTAAGAAGGTGCCGCGCACCAGGCGGGCAATGGATGCGGGCTGCCTCCAGTCCTCTTGCTGCTCGGGACCCGCCGAACCTGCTCGGTTCCAAGCTCCGAAGCCCGCTTCCTTTCTTATTTTGCGGGTTTCCTTGATCCTAGTGGAACCAGGAGGAAGGAAAGAAAGAGAGGGAAAAAAGCCGTAAAAAATAAAACAAAGATGCAAGGGGCGGCCTTCGGCGAGCCGGTGAAGCGGCGCGTCCGTGTCCCTTTGGATGCAGTGTCTTCCTGCCAGCCGTCATCCCCAGTCGGCCGCTGCGAGCGCGGAGAGCAGCGCGAGCGCTGTGAAGATGCGAGGAGGTGGAACAATGAATTTATAGCGGCATGCCATCCTGCAATGGCAATTTCAACAATTCGTCACTGCAAGCTGCCTCTTAAAGGGAGAGCTTCCCCCACCACTCCCACCCTTCCCGGTCCGCGCCTAATCAGAAGGGGGAGGGCGGGCCAGGGGGGTGATCGAGGAAAGGGAGACCGCGAAGGAGGAAGGGACTCAGCGAGGTGGAAGGAGGGACGAGGGAGGGAGCAAGGGCGAGGTAGGGGGAAAGTATTTGAGTAAGAAAAACAGAAGATTTCCTTGGCCTCATTTAAAGCCACAGCGGCTCGGGGTTTGTCTGATATTTCACAACCAATCGGGGTTGGCTAACCTCGGCTTACCTCATCTCCTGAAGGGGTGTTTTGGCGTGTTTTTAAAGTTACTGAGACGTTTCAAGTCTCTCCCTGCCTCCTTCACTCCGGCTTTTCTTTGCCTCTGTAGGAAGTTCCTGCCGCAAGTTTTGCCCCTTTGCACGCCGGTGCGCTGCGGCCCGGCCGACCTTGCAACTGCATCCACCAGCCAAGGGCTTTCGGCTTCCCGTGCGCCCCCTCGCCCCGCGCTCCTCTCGCCGCACGCCGGCCGTCCCGGTACCCGGTTTCCTCCCGTCCCATTCCCCGGCCTCTTCGCGCTCCGACGCACGCGAGGTTCGGGCTCCGGGTGACTAACTTCTCCCAGCCACCAGCGGAGGGGCCGAGCAGACGGAGAGCCGCGGGCGCTTCCTGGCGCGTCGCTGCGCCCTGAGGGCTGCGCTGTCCCCGGGCAGGGGCGCCGGAGGCCTGGGAACTCCCGCCTTTGTGTGCGAGCCGCGGGCTCCCCCCTTTTTCAAGCGCGCCTTTCACCGGCGCCCACAATCTGTCACTTAATCCCGGATGACTGGAACTTCCTTTGCTTGGCTTTAAGAAGGCAGGGCGGGGAAGAGTTAACTCTTGAAGGGAATTGCGCTCATTCCCCTCACCCCCCCCAGATTAAAAAAAAAATGTGCCCACACTTTTCTTACTTCGGCTTAAATGATAACCTAAATGATAAATACGTATCATTTGTATTTATATCTCCTAAAACAACCACTCATCACCCTTGGTCCTAACCAATTCTTAGAAATTTCTTTTAGGAGAAAAAGAAGACATTTGAGGAGAGGGGACGCAGGTTGGTACTTTTTAGGACCTGAGTGGTATTGTTACCCCTCCTTGGTTTCTCTCTCCTCTATCTTTCCTCAGACTATCAAATCTAAAAGAAAAAAAAGGAAAATCTAAGGCCTTTCTAACCACTGCTGGTAATGCTCAGGTTTAGTATGGGGTCTAGAGCATCTTCCTGCCCCATTATTCTTTAGGCAAATTAATGACTATATTAGTGAAAAAAACGAATCCATCATACTTAGCACATTTATGTCTTTCTACCTTTGTTTAGTTCACAGGGATGCGTACCAAGGATAACAGGGCCACCTCTGTGCACCCCAAGCTGCTGGTGGGTTTTTTGTATCCTTGCTGGGGGATCTGATCACTTTTCAGGGAATCAGGAGGGTCCTGAACTGGCTTGAGGTCCCTGAAGTAGAGATGCACCTGGCAGGGAATCCCAGAATTGCTCAGTAGTGATGCCTGTTGCCCTGCGCCTGGAGAACCCTCGGGAGTCATCTGGGACGAGGACTGACGTGCGTCCTGGGAGTTAGTTCTCGTTTATAAACGAACCGATCACTGGGGTGCCCAGACCACCCAGCAACCTCTGGTGGATTCTGAAATACCTCAAGATTTGGGAGGAAGTCACTACTGCTGAAGGCCATTGCTTTTTAATTCCATAACCCTCAGTCTCTCAGTGGTCAGTTGTCCAAGGGCAACACTACCAGTTGAGTATTTTGAGGAACTAGAGACATCAGGATCAAGAAATAAAGGAGGAGAACCTAGATTCCTGTACTCTTCTTTGTCCCCTCAATAGCCTCCATGTCTTGGGCTGGCCATTCTCTTCAGTGGTCATTGCCTTGTGCCCTTTGGTAGCATTTGTTGTTGTTGTTGTTGTTTATTATTATTATTAATATTATTATTATTATTATTATTATTATTATTATAACCAATTTCAGTAAAAAGTGGCCCAATATTTGTCACTAAATACCATCTCTGAAATAACTTTGATTCAGTAACTTGAACTCTTTTATTATTGTGAATTTCAAAGGATCATTTTGGTAGACAGGCATTTTAGATGACAGTGGTGTAAATTTACGAATTACAATTATTTGGATTCACAGACAGGAGATCTCTTATTTAGCATTTAAAGAAATTCCAGCCGAATTTTATTCTTAGTGAATGGTTTCTCCTCTCTCAAAAACACTACATGTCTTACATGAATCATGCCTCTAAATTTTAAGCTTTCCATTTTAATTATGTAATGATCTTTGTACTCAGATCGATTATTCAGATGTTTAGAAATACGTTGAAGGACAGGATAGAAACAGATCAAGCCCCAAACGTGAATATCAAGTATAACCATATATTCACAAGGACAGGAGCTAATACAGCACATAAATATAATGAGCAAATTCTTACATATTCAGAAAATTTGTACTTGGGTATAATTTTTTTTTTTTTTGCTGTGAGAATAACTTGGGCACTTTAGGACATTCATTTTGTAATACTTTTTAAATATTACCTTTGTAGATTAGGAGGAGCTGTTCCAGAAACGTTCAAAATTAATGCCTGTCAGTCCAAAGAAATAACTTGCTTTGGATGAAGGTACCTTGGGTTTTTATTTTCTTTTTTAGAGCAGAAAGATAAAACATTTAGGCGGGTTAATTGCTACTTCATCATTTCATTATTCCAAGTAGCAGTTTTATTATTGCATTTTTAATGAGAAGTTTCCATTGCATTTCTAGAGTATATGATCACACCTGATATGTAATTTTACATTTCCCCAAAGGGAGAGAGACTTTCCACTCCAGGATATTACAGGTAGGAAATATCTTGGGGATTATCTAAGAACAGAGAGCAGTGACTTGCCTGTGGTCAAAAGTCCACTGTTGGCCAGCTCTCCTGAAACCTAACCTAAATCTCTTCCCCCTAATGTGATGCTAAATCTGCAACATCTTTTAAAGTCCACCCAATGCAACAAATATCTGTCGAGGGCCCACTGTAAAACGCTCTGGAGGTTCTCTGGAGGCATATAAAGATGAATAAGCCATGATTAATGTTCAGAGAAACTGACAGTTCAGCGATGAAGCCATTTGTACCAAGAGATACTTGGAATGCAAACTGGAAAATACAAATAGGGAAAAAAAGCAAAGGAACAACTTCTGCAGGTGCTCTGAGCTGTGTATTTCCAGTACAGCTTCACTCCATAGGATCTGTATATCCTTGTAAGTAGTATTTTCTCAAATTTCCATTTGCTAAAGTGTCATTTCCTCCCCTTCCCCCATCTATGATTTTAATGCTAAGAGCAAGGAAATAACTGACAATAAAATTTTCTCCTCCAGCCAAACACCTGCTGCTTACCTCCCAAGTAGAAGAATCACAGTCTCTCAACTCTGCAATAATTTTCCTTTCCCGCATTGAGATCCCTACCCGAAGTCTTGCTGTATTCTGAGGTCCTTTTGTACCATGTCCCTGAGAGGCAGCATGGTGGATGTTGGGAGCGGGACAGTTTCACTGCTGCTTAAGGCCCTATATGAATGTTTTAAAGATTCTGGGTCAGCCTTTTCCTTTATAGCGCCACTCACCTTTTGTAAATACTGGATCTGAGAAGACTTGCTTCAAAACCCAAGGCTATTTGAGGTATCTCAAATAAGTGCAATCATGCCGTATTTCTCCTCCTATGACTGGCGTGTTTCACTTCGCATAATGTCCTTCAGCTTCCGTCTTGTTGTCCACGTAAAAGAGCTAGACTCACAAAAGCAGAGAGTAGAATGATGGTTGCCAGGGTCTGGGGGGAGGGGGAAGTGAGGACTTCCTCTTCAAGTGTATAAAGTTTCAGTTATGAGAGATCAATATTTTCTGGAAATCTGCTGTAAAACATCGTGCCTATAATTAACAATCTTACATTGTACGTCTAAAAATTTAATCGACGGTAGATTTTACGTTAAATATTCTTAACACAAAACAAAAAAAACCAAAGCTTACACTTTGGGGATAGGGAAGGGAGTGTATATACTACACTAGCTTTAAAAGGAATCCTAAATTTTAGAGGGTGAAACTATTACCTGAAAATCCTTCTTCTCTTTTTTCCTAGCCCTTTATTCCCCTCTTACCATCTCCTTCTAAATTCCACAATGATGTAACGTGCCTCTTGACACGCCAAAGCACGTGCACGATGGCACACACATTAGACACGCAACACAAGTCGGCGCGCATGCGCACACGCGTGCACACAACCCTCAGCCCTAACTCAGTTCCCGTCTAGGCTGTTCTGATGTGATGAGTGGTAGAGAATCCTGAGATGATAGGAGAGGAGCTTATGCCAACTCCCCTGTCCCCTTGCAGAGAAAACTTTCTTGAGATCTGAATGTGTGTGTGTGTGTATTTTTAAAGAAATATTCCTGATACAACTCAAAACCATGTTCTCTGCTCCCTGTCTAGGACATATTACAGAACAGTCTATCTGTTGTGATACATAACATATGTTTCAGAATCAGTTTTACTTAATTTTATAAAAAATAAACTTGGGGGAAAACTAGATTTTCATTTTTCTTATACCCAGAAATTTTATACGGTATAAAAGTCTTCACATGAATAATGTACATGTGTATTATTTAAGACATACAGGTGCTATCTGTAAAGTAAGACCGACAAGTCAGTTTTTATGCTGGCCAGCTGTGAAATGTTGTTTTAGCTTTTCTCACACAATTATG